GGCGGGCGAACGTGAGTGAGTGAGTGTGGGTGGGTGGGTGGTGGGCAGGAGTGAGTGCGTGTGTGTGGGCGCGACTTTTCTTTTTTCCATTTTCCCGCCCGAGGCCAAAGAAAAGAAAAGAAAACAACCACGAAACAGAAAGAAAAACAAACGAAAAAAGTAAAAAAGAAAATAACCACGATACAAAAAGAAAAACAAAAAAAGTAAGAAACGACGCGCCGAAAACGAAAATGCTTAAAAAAAAAGGGTCGGGCCGCGCCGGAAGGAGACAAAACGACACGCTCGAAGGAGGAAAAAAGAACTAAAAGTAAAAAAAGATAAATAACAAATTCCAAAAAAAATACAAATCAAAAAGAAAAAAGAAAAAAAAGGGGTCGGGCCACGAAACGACACTTTCTTGCTATCCGACGGCGGGCGCGTTCGGATATTGATGCGCATCGACGCCCGCCGTGTACCCGGCCCCGTGGGCGCTCTCCCTCGTTTAGTGGCGCACTGTGAACAATTCGGTACGCGCGCCACTCTGCACAACACCCCTCCCTCAATCACCTTCATCCGCCGGCCCGAATCAAAACTTTAGGCTGATTCCGGCTCGCAGCGGAACACAACCTCCCCCCCGCGGGCCCACCGCGCTTAAGGGGTAGGATAATAAAAAAATAAAACAGAAGAGAGGACTGACTTATCGAACGGGCCCGATCAGATTAGTTGGAGATCCCCTCTTGTCTAACCTGACAAGGTACATGTACCACAATAAATCAGCCGAAGAAAACTAATTGCAGCAATGGAGATTTCGAGGGGTGCAGACGGTCGCTGAGCCAGACGCGGGGCAGTATGTGATAACATGCAGCAAGACCAGTCAAGATCCCCTTGAAAGGAATGCCCTTGCTAGCCGTATGTCCCCCAAGTTCAGCACAGCAAAGAGATGCACAAGCGGCCATAAATTTGGGCTCGAAAGGTCCTGTCCCGTTGGGCCTGGTCCCACTGAGTCCCAAAAGCTCCCAAGTAGGTCGTGGACCAGGACCAACGAGATAGGGGTACCAAGTCAGTCCCAAACTGCCTCTACCGTACTGAAAAGGAAAAGACAACTTTTAGCAAGAACACTCCTCTTGCCCTTCCTCACACTCTCATAAAGAACACCTTCTCTCTCCCTTCTCTCTCTTCCCGTTGTCTGCGCACGCGTCTCAATACCGGACATAGATAGTTCAGATGAAAGAAACAAACAGTAAATCACATAGAGTAGAAGGTAGAACTCCTAGCCGGAGCGACAATTCATTTCGACTTAGAGAATGGCACGCAACAGAAAAAATAATAATAATAATAATAAAAAAATAAAACGGAAGACAGGACTCACTTATTGAACGGGCCCAATCAGATTAGTTGGAGATCCCCTCTTGTCTAACCTGACAAGGTACATGTACCACAATAACTCAGCCGAAAAAAACTAATTGCAGCAATGGAGATTTCGAGGATTGCAGACGGTCGCTGAGCCAGACGCGGGGCAGTATCTGATAACATGCAGTAAGACCAGTCACGATCCCCCTTGAAAGGAATGCTCTTGCTAGCCGTATGTCCCCCAAGTTCAGCACAGCAAAGAGATGCACAGGCGGCCACAGATTTGGGCCCGAAAGGTCCTATCCCGTTGGGCCTGGTCCCACTGAGTCCCAAACGGTCCCAAGTAGGTCGTGGACTAGGACCAACGAGATAGGGGTACCAAGTCAGTCCAAATCTGCCTCTACCGTACTGAAAAGGAAAAGACAACTTTTAGCAAGAACTTACCCCTACAACCATTCAGAAATGAAAAGACCTTGCACCATAGAAAGATATGTCATTTAGAACAGATACATCATCCATTCATCCATCAGGTGAGAAAGCAATCCACATGCTCACACACACAGCCAAGACCGCAGATAAGAGGAAGAGAGCCCAACACAACCCAATAGGCCACGGAGCACCAAGCAACCTCCCACGGGCTAACCAGGTCATAGGGCACTTACCTGTGAGGCCCGGCCTCCAAAGATGGATAACGACTCACCCCCCTCTCATAAGCCCTCCTGACCCCTAGCTATCACTACACGAAGTGTCCTAGCATGACTAAGAGGGCCTTCCTACACCCCTGTTGCAAAGCCGGATCCCCCGTCGAGGTCTGAAGACCAAAGTAGCAACTTGCAGCAATTTGATGTCGATATGGCAGCCTCCGATCAAGTCTCCCTCTTGAGGGGAAGCCCAAAAGTCACTCAATGTCTTCTTGAAGTGCACCTCTCACTCTCTACTCCCTCTCGCTTACTCCAATCAGCCTCCTTTGTGTCTCGCCACCCCATCCAATCACTCAAACAACCTGGTCAGGTCTGACGTCGACCTTACATGACCTAACCAGGTGGGGGAAGTATCCACATACCTCACTGCCCCACTTAACCCTAACTTCCTAACCCTAATCCGAGATTAGGTTAGCCCTAACCTAATTCGGAATTAGGTTTAGGGTGACTAACACCTCTCGCCAGCAAGCAAGTCTGCTTCGATACCAATTGTTACGATCCTGGTCATTTCCAAAGTGCAAATTCACAATGAAAGACAATGCCACCCAATTGCGAAAGAAATGAAAGCACTTGCAAAGAGATAAAGACCAGAGGACAGAGAAAGAAGAAGAAGAAGAAGAAGAAGAAGATATGCACCAACAAGACCAATGGCAATTTCCCCCTTCTCTCTCCACCTTCCTCCTCCTCCTTCACTTCGCCAATCTTATTCTTCTCCCAACACTAATAATAACAATGAATGGATGAACCAGAATCAATATCCGAAGTTCCCTCTTACTGTTGACTCAACAACAACAACAACAACAAGTCCACCATAGCTATGGCTTCCCTCCTTCAGCCTCCTTTCTCATGCATAGGCTATGGCGGACTAATGAGGGCCCTGCCCTCCTATCCAAAGGACAACCCAAAGCAGCTATGGCGCTGCACTCCTGTCCAAAGGACAACCCAAAGCAGCTATGCTGCTGCTGACTGGTCCGCCACGCCTGACCCTGCCTTGAGCCTCCTTGGTGCAGCACTACCCCAACTGGGGCCTTCCAGATGCAGCGCCCAACAAGGTGATGAAGACGGTGTCCACCATAGCCAGGTAGGTGCCTCGCCACTCTCCTCCTTCGCCCCCTTCTTCCTCCTCCTCAAGCTGGACCGCTCGCCATAGCCAGGCTGAGCTCCAGCTGCCCTTCACCTCCAAGCAGCGCTGTAGCAGCCAGCGCTGTGCTCCAGCAGCATGTCGCCAATCCTTGCACACCGCAAATGAGGAAGAGCTCTTCGCTCTACCTCGAGATATAGCGGCCTACTGGCCTCTTGGGGGGTGACTTCCTAGGCCGAGTGGCCTCTCAGCAACCGGTACCTCCTCCCTTTCGGAGGGAAACATCATTGCAGGCTCTGCTATCCTCCGTACAGGCCCTAGACCCGGGCTACTTGGACTGGTACCGGCCTACCTCTATCCTACCGCTACTGGGCCTCTGAAAATGCCAACTTTTTGTCTTCTTCTGCTCGGCCTCCAATACCCGACACTCCTACCACTACTTGAGTGGTACCGGCCTACCTGCTACTCGAGTGTTTTCCCCGCTGCTCTAAGTGTCGCGGGCCTACCCCCGCTACTTGAGTGTTTTCCCCGCTGCTCTAAGTATCGCGGGCCTACCCCCGCTACTTGAGTGTTTTCCCCTCTGCAACCCTCAAAGTCCCGACCACAGGTAAGTACCAGCCCTGCGGGGCCTTTCAACCAACAAGTACCCTTGCGGGTCACACACACACTCAGCCAACAAGCACTCAGACAGGCACGCAAACCAGCAGGCACGCACACACACACAGACATGGAAATCACAGCAGAATGCGGGAATCTCAGCAAGGCATTCATTCCAGCGGCAAATCCCAGAAATCAGCAGTGTCCTCAGTCTGTGTTTTGGCAGGTCATTACAAACATAAAAAAAAAAAAACAGGCAAAAAAAAACAAAAAAGAAAACACTAAAAAGCACTATAAAACCGTATTCGGAGTAGCTTTCTGAGTTCGCCAATGTTTTTTCTGAATTCAGTGTTTTTGCCAACTTTTTTGTTAGTGGTCCAAATGCATCGAAACCGAATACAGATATACCCTAAAGCACATACATATCACCAAAAAGAAAAAAAGAAAAAAAAAATTCAAGGAAATATGGCAGTTTCGGTGAAAAATTCGCCGAAAATGACACCACCACATACATATAAAAGAAAAAAAAAAATTCAGGGAAATATGGCAATTTCGGTGAAAAATTTGTTGAAAATGACACCACCTATTAACCATATGTGACTTAACTTGCAACAGTTTGTGCTTTGCAGTGACTGTGCCAGCACAGTGCATGTCAAGTAATGATCATTTATGTTTGTCATATATGCCAACGACTATGTGTTCCTGGAACACTTCAAATCCCCTTAAGTCAAGGTTATACAATGAAACTGCATTCAACATGCATAAGAGACCTGGCAATTTTTTTTTTTTTCAATCTGGACCATGCCTAGATGGTCCGGACTGATCTGGAAATCGGGACGTCTAGATCATATCCGAGCTGACCGGTTGTCTAGGTCCAGCAGCCATGAAATTCAGTGTGCTCCTCTTGCACTTTCCTTCCTCTTAGCACATTTTTTACCCAGGTGGGGTGGGGAAATCCTGTCGAAAATTCCAAAAAAATAAATATTTTCTCTCCTCTCACTCTTTACATGTCATTTATTTATTTACTTTTATATTATTTCTTTTATTTTATTTTTATCTCAAAATCTCACGTTTTGTTTATTTTTTCTTCCCCCCTCGCAGCTCTCCCACCCTAACCTCCACCTAGTCCGGTCACGGTTTCCTTAGGATTAGGGTTTTCCTAAACCCCCTCCTTTTCGGCTCCTCCCTTCGAGCACCCTGGACCCGAACGGATCCTCTCCCTTCTATCATATCAGCGTCTCCCTCTCACGCATGGCACGGCGAATCCGGGGTGCCGACCCACAACTACTCACTTCGCTCCCGCGGTCCCCCTCCTCTTACCGATGGCCCCCTTTCCCCACACACCTCTCTGAGGCCTCCCTCCCTCCCCCTTTCGGCCACGGAATGGAGTACATCTAATGAGATCGCCGCGGCGCCGTCCACCTGCCGGCGACTCAGGGTCAGGCCCAAGCGGACACCATGGACATCCACGCCGTCCTTGTGGCCATACAAGCGCAACTCAGTACGCTTGGACCGCTGCAAGAGCAAATCAATGCGCTTGCCTATGACGTCAACCGCCTCAAGGGCTCTCCCCATCGCACCGCTCTCCATTCTCGTACTCCATCCCCTATCGGCTCACTGACCGATTCTCCACGACTCCAGTGACATGGACGTGGTGGTTCTTCCTCTCATGCGGCTCAGGTCCAACACTCCCCCTCAGCAGTGGTGAGTGTTCTTGTCGCTCAACACACCCTGTCTGTTGTGGCACCTCTCTCTGTACTTGGCGCCCCTACCGTCTCTGTCGTTGCCGTAGGTGTTGCGATCCAGATACCACCATCCGGCCCAACACTGGTCGCGACATTACAGTTCCGCCCACTTCTCCCCGCCTTTGTCCCCTTATCCCCACAATAGGGCACTCCCCAGTCTGGGATTCCTCCTCCCGGTGGGATACCCCCTCCGCCTCCTCCACCCCTGACCCCGCGCACCCAGCGAGTGGTAACTTTACAAGCCACCATTGCGCAGGCTCAAGCGTAGATCCGGGCCCTGAGAAAGCCTCACCCTTCACAGGTTGCTCACCTTTCTTCTTCCTCTACCACCCCTTCGGCCCCCATCATGCAGGCGTGTGTTCCCTCAACCTGCTCCTCAACCTCTCCCTTCCTACCTAGCCATTACGGGACAGCTGCCCGCGACCGTTGCCTCCACATCTACTGGTCCATCTGCTAGCGGCCACGGCCCACAGCCTTCCCCTACCTCCGCCCCTGCCTTAGCCCCGACTTTCGCTGCGGCATTGCAGGCGCCTCGGTCTCTCTCCCCCCACCATCAGCACATCGGACACCTTGTGCACACCTCGCACATTCCCTCGTCTCTTGCTGGTTGAAGATAGCAACACCCACACCCTCGCTGACGACCACCTGTCAGGAGTTGTGATGCGATGTGCTCGCAACCAAATTGCGAAGCAGCCCTTCCACTGCGTGGCAGGACCATTGCCCCTTTGCGTGGGTGAGGTCCCACTCTTGCAGACTTTGCGGCCTTCCTTCAGGACCGCTTTGGCGCTCGTCACGACGCCACTGACGCCTTAGACCTCGTCACCCAAAACCGGATGGTCCGGGTCTATACTGGCTGACCTCAAGCGTCACATCCGAGTGTTTCAGGACGTCCGCCTTGTTTGTGATGAGACGTTCCTACCGGAGGTCACCCTCGCCGACCGGTTCGTCAATCTTCCGGCTGACTACAACTTGGAGTTATGGAGGCGGTCATTCTCTTTTGCGGAGCAGGCATACGAGGTTGTGCGTCAGTACCAGAGGATGTGCAACCGTTTCTCCGTTGCCCCATCTTCGCAGCCACCCGCCACCTCCCAATCTCGTAGTACCACCCAAGGTTGTTCCTCTTTTGCTAGTCGTTTCCGCCGCCCCGCTCAAACCGGAGCTCCCTTCTCTCAGCGCTACAATGCGCTCGAGTACGGCGACGACGCCCCGGCCAAGCTCGACTCTACCCTTGAGGACGCCCCCGAGGACATCGATGTTAGGGACGTCATCTAGTGCCACTTGGATGACGAGACTGTCCCCATGGACGACCGCTTGCGGATGGCTATGTCTGCTATGGGTCGTGCTCACAGCAGATCTGAACAACCCGATGCTCCCACGTTCGTTGTCCCTCAGGTGAACCTCCCACAGGGTTTCGTCCCCCCCCCCCCGCAGAGCTTTAGCCTTGATGAGTGTGCCGCCATCGAGGCCCGTCGTGGTTGCCTCCGTTGCCGCCAGGATGGACACACCTCCTCACGGTGTCCATACCATGCCGCCCTCGATTGGCACTATGCCGACATTTCTCGTCAGCGCCGATCTTAGTTCCCCCCCGGCCCCGCCCGGCCAGCTCCATCCAACTAGCCACAATGCATTGTACCGTTGAGGCCTCGCACGTAGCCGGCTTCCCGACCACCGAGTCACAGTTTGCCCCTTTGGCTACCACACCAGACGATCCTTAGGACACGACAGATGCAACTCCCTCTACCCCGCTGTCTATCGAGGTACCATTTGCCCCACAGCAGACAACCGCATCTAGTGCTTCCCCTCCGAGACTTTTAAGCATTCTTCAGCCTCGTAAGGAGCGACTCACGAGACACATAGACGTCCTGCGTCGTCTTCTCGCCCTGCTCTCTAACCCTGATCGCACCCTCCCCATGATTCCTATTCGCCTTGGGACATCTATGAGGGTGTATCGTGCTTTATGAGACTTTGGCTCGCAGGGGGATTTCGTTCACCCTCGCGTGATTGCTCTCCCATCTCCATTACCCTCGGAGATAACAAGACTCAACGCTTCTTTGATAAGATGGTCCCTGACCTTCACTTTTCCCTTACCCTCTAGCTGTCGGATAGTACCCAGGCGTCTTGCAGCTATCACTCCTCCGCATACTTCGATGTGTTGGAGACTAGGTACGACTTTATCCTTGGCACTCCCTGGTGGTCTCACAGGTTCCGTGGCATAGAGGCCAAATGGGCGACCGAGACACTCATTCTCAAAACGAAGTGTGGGTCCCATTCGTTGGCACCACTGGCGACACCCCTCCCAACCTCCCTCCCCAGGATCCTTGCCCCTCTGGGTCCCACCCAGACATCGCCTTCACTTCTCCTCGCCAATCTGCTCACTTCATATGTTAGGAGGGCGTCACCTTTTACTCGGTGAACGCCATGGATCTTTTTCGCTATGATCCACTCTGTCCAGAGGTTAAGCTAATCTCTTCGGAGCCCGATCCCCTTGACCCTTCCTCCATCTTCGCGGCTCCCATCTCTACATCTACACCTCAGCCTGCGAATACCCCCTCGACATCCTCGGTCTCTACGCCGTCCATTGGCAAGTCCACACATACGCCTCGTGTCGGCGCAGACGATGAGGAACTCACGCGGTTCATGACCGACTTAGAGTCGTCATTCGTGACCTGATTGGATAGTACTGCGACGTCTTTCCCCCCGTATTTCTCATATAACGGGATCCCTCTGATGCGCCATGTTGATCATTCTATCTAGCTCATGTCTGATTATCGCATCCACCATCAGGCACCCTATCAACTCTCGACTCCGAAGGTGACGAAACTCAAGCGTCAGTTTGAGGAGATCCTTCGACTGGGTTTCATTAAACCCAGTTACTCCCCTTGGGGTGCACCCGTCCTCTTTGCTCCGCCTCTGCATCGATTATCGTGGCCTTAACCGTAAGACGGTTAAGAACAACTATCCCATGCGTCAGGGGGATGAGCTGTTTGATCGTGTGGCAAGCAACCGCTTCTTCACGAAGATCCGTAGCCGTTACCACCAGATCCACGTTGCCGCAGAGAACTAGCCGAAGACCGCCTTTCGGCCGCGCTTCGGCCACTACGAGGTTATGGTGATGCCATTCGGCCTCACCAATGCACCTGCCACCTTCCAGACGGTGATGAACAATATCTTCAGGAACATTCTTGAAGTCATGCACCTGAATGACATCTTGGTCAACAATCGTACCTTAGAAGGCCACCTCAGACACCTCCGCGATGTCCTACAGCGCTTACGCAAGCATAGCTTTTATACCAAGCTCAGTAAGCGCCGCTGTCGACCACATCGGTCCCGCAGTGGGACCCTCCCAGCCGCGTCACGCAGGATTTGGCAGGACTTGTTGCGTAGAGCGTTTTGCTGTTCCGACCGAGTGCGCTAGTCGTACCTCTCGCGAGCCCCTACGACAGGATAGGGTCACCCGAGGCACTGCTTACCTCCACTCGCGGGAGCTGTTACCATCCCTTGGATGAGCGTATCCCTGTCGAGCCACTGGACCACATGCAAAGTTTTTTTGTATGCAATTGCAGAGGTGGCCCAGCCGAGGGCATTCCTCGTTCGCTGTGGCATAAGGGGTATGCGCGGTTAACGCTCGAATCGGACCCGCGCACGAATCGTCGCTCGAGGCACTGATCTCTCAACCACGGGACACACTTGCCAACGAAAACTCGTTCCTACTTGCAATATCATGCCTAACCCTTTTTTTCTACTTGACCCGTAATTGTTCGTGGATCATAACGCACGGACATCACACGTACGACCTCGCATAAATAAAAGTTACTTCGCCAGTCCTTTAACATAATGACTAGCCATGCGTGTATACAAGCAGTCTTAATTATGGAGTACTATGTGGAGCCCATAAAGGTACGGTCCCATCTGAGTCATGGGATCACATTCGACGTTCAGACGTCGGTTGATAAGCGCTCTAAAGGGGTCAATCCTTTAGCGGGCGCAAAAGCAGACTGAACACCCGATGATCTTCAGCAACCTGCAGTGCCCCAATGGGTGTACGGTAAGTTGGCCTCGAGGGCAGAAGGGAGTTTGGAGTGGTGGTGAGTTGTCTGGCGCACCGCCAGCAACACACTAACCCTTCTACACGGAACCTTATCGTTCCACCAAAAATAACTGTAAACAAGAAAAAAATCAATTTGCCGTACACGGGCAATCCAAAAAAAATATTCATAGACCCTATGCAAAACATGTGCATGCGTTAGCCACGACAGTCGTTTGTAAGAAAAAGGACCAAGCCTCATGTCGTTTCCTTCTCGAACGTCTGACACATAACTTATTCCATGTGAGGTTTCAGGAGCAAACCGCGCACAAAAATGTTTAAAAGGGAGGCTTGTGCGAAAGAAAAACATAATACTCAGTTATGCGAACTCTCCCGACTAACTATCATGGCGACACTTTATGCGTTACCCATAATTGATCAACCTTCCACATGACTCGGTGTTACGTACGACACTAAAGTGTAAGAGATGAGGTATCGTGAAGGAAGTCTCCTTCACGATATTGAACAGTTGAAAAATGAGTTGTTCAGCCCTGGCGGCACTCTTGTCCTTTAGGCGGGGTGCCACGAGGGGCAGCGTGCAAATGCTCAACACATAGGGGAAATCCTTTTGTGTTGAGCTAAGACTTGGGATGCCCTAAACAAGGACCTAGAATTCCAGGTACACGACCATCGTCCGACCAACAAATTCAAATAGCAGGGATGAACGTTCGTACTATCACGGTTGTTTCGAAATCTATACACACGTACTTTCACAAAAACATCGTGACTAAACAGAAGTGGTTCAATCAGTCAAACAAGGAGGTTGTGTGGTAT